GAGGCTGGCTGGGGCAAAGGTGGTCCTGTTGGTGTTCATTCTCTTTCTTCTGCTCCTGCTGTAGCTGCTAAAGAACCCGGTACCCACGCCTCATAAATCTCTCTCACACATCACATCCCACCACCCCAAACCTAGGGATTTCCCACTCCAGGCCGTCCCAGTTTATAATATTCTCCTTCCTGGTGCCTCTCTGATGTGGCAGTAAAATATGAGGCCACCCACAGAGATAGAAGCCTGGAAGGATCCACAGCTCCCCACCCCCTTTGCAAGACTAGAGTTGACAGACTGGCCAAGGTGTTCGGAGGTTGGGGGGCCTGGGGGGGGGTCTCCTTAAGAGAATGGACATATTAGGGCACAAAGAGGAGGCAGCTGATGTAAGACCAAGCCTGTGGGCACAGCAGAGGCCATCTGTTTTCCCTGAGGTCAAACAGCCAGTCAATTACTGAGGCGGCAACCCCAGCCCCCAAGGCATCTAGAATTCCACACCACCCTTCCCTTACGCTCTGCCAGACAGAGCTGTTCAGAGGCAGCTCCAGCTCCAGCCTGAATGAACCCCCTCCCTCCCACCCCCACCACACCAGGCGAGGAGGCAGCAGTCTGTGTGGCCCATCAGGAGACAGACTTCTGACTCACAGCCAGGCAGGGGGGATGCAGACCGCCTGACCCTCACCTCAGCCTGCCAGGCCTTGCAGCAAACATTCCAGAGATGGGCAAAACCCCGCATTTCTGCTGGAAGGTGAGGCCTCATCAAGACCAGCAGTGCTTGAGCGGTATTAGTGTAATGCAGGGCGCCCTGAGCTACAGATTAGGTTCAAGTTCAAGATTGCTGGTCATTGTGCAGGCCGGACACCAAGCAATGATTTCCCCCCAGCCCCGTACTGTAATAGGTGTCAATTTGTAAGCGTATTACAACAGTCTACCAGCAGATGGCAGTACAGGGAGTCCTATGGCTGCGGAAGACAGACATCCTTATGAATGTCAATGGAGCCAGGCAATGGACAGACTCATCAAGCATGGTCAGTGTGCCCTGACTGGGTACTGGACATGAAGAGTTCACAGGTTAGATGTTTGTGGGCAAGGGGACAGAGGATGAATGTGTAATCACGCGGTAGAGAGGGGTTATAATGGCTGTAAGCGTAATGTGCTATGGAAGCTGCGGAAAGACATTGCACCCAGCCAGCCACACCACACTGCCCAGGCAGACAAAGCGGGTGCCACCCATGAGTTTGTTGGAACGTTGGAAAGAGGGTTGGGTAAAGAAGAGATGTAAACATCCTACACAGAGAGGATGGCGCATGCAAAGGCTTGGCCGTATAACCTCAAAGGGGTCACAGGAGGTTGGGTAGGTCCGTGAAATGGAAGAAAGCCAGTGATGGATGGTGTGTGTGTGTGTGTGTGTGTGGTCATCTGTGGGCAGCTGACCGGGTGGGGAGGGCCAGTGTGAACATCTGAAGGGAGGAGGAGACCACTAGAGGTTGTGAGGCTTTGTGTGGGGACTTCTCGTGTAGAACGTAGAGTGGAATCCTTACCCCCTTGTCCCTTAGAGGTCATGTGAAGGTCGAGGAGCAACGTGGAGAGGCTGGCCGGCCTTCTGTGCAGTATGACATGTTTACCATGTGATAAACATGCATCATCACACCTATGGGCACATCAGAAGCCAGGGATCCCATAATTCTGCTGGTGAGCATCCAAGAAGAGGAGGTTTCAGTCAGCACGCCCTCAATAGTGAGCTCATCTCTCACCCGTGGATCCAGTTTCAGGACCTCGGCTGCAGACACTGGAGTGTATTGTGTGCTAAGAACTATTCTAAGAGCTGTGTGTCACCTGCTGCAGTCTCCACAGCAACCCCATGTGGTGGCGCCGGTTGTCACCCCCATTTTCCAGGTGTGGAAACAGAGGCAGGCGGAGGGTAAGAGACCTACGGGAGGTCACACCGCAAGCGAGCAGAAGAGCTGGGATGGTGCCAGCCACTCTGCTGCCTTGCAGAAGAGAGAGCCAAGTGAATTTCTCACCAGAGCCTTCCCCTGGCTATGCTGTATCACCCCTGGACAAAGGGGGAAACTGAGTCCTGGGGTGGGGGTGGAAGCTGAGTGCCTTGTCTTAGAACACAGTAGGTAAGTGAGCGGTAGAACTAAGATTTCCCTGTCCCCCAGCCATGTTTGTTTGTTTTCTGGCATGCCTGTGGTTATCGTGGAGTTGCCATTCGCAGGCTACAGGCCCAAGCTAGCACCTGGAATGCCTGCTCTGCAGTTCGCTCTAGCTCTTGCTAACTATCCTCTCACCACAGGCAGAGCAGTTAGTGCCAAGGGATGCATCTCCTAGGACTCTTGAAATCATACTCTAGACTATGATTCAGGTCCCTGCCCCAAAGGACCTTGATCCAATTCCAGAGTCTCTGTGGGCCAGCTTGTTGGTCCATCCCCCAAGAGATGTCTGTGGGTGGGAGGAATACACGAAGCTGGTTTGTCTGCAGACCTGCACAAGAATCTGCAATGGTACCGGACAGAGAGGAAGGTAGATGGAAAATTAGTGAGGATCATGGACTGGGGAGAGGACCCCAGGCTTCCATATTCTCATAGAACTCTAAGAATTCTATGCTTAGATGGGTGTCGTGGTGGGTGCCTGTAATCTTGGCTATACAGGAGAAAGAGGAGGATTACAGTGTGAGGGTGGCCTCAGGTAGCAGCATGAGGCCCAATCCAAAAAGTAAACTAAGGGAAAAAGATCTGGGGCATAGCTTGAGTGGTAGAGTTCTTGTCTAGCAAGCGCGGCGCTGTGTTCAAACACCCCCAAAAAGAATGTCTAAATTCTGAGTTTGTATGAAGTTGTTTTCATCAAGACAAGAAGAAAAACCTGTCTCACCCCACACAAGGCCCCCGAAATCTAGAATTTGCCAACACTATTATTGAGAGCTTGTGATCAAATTCACAACATGTGTGAATTATTTCCCTCTGTGTGCATGTGTGTGTGTGTGTGAATATGTGTGCACATATTTTCTTGAAGAACTTTGCAACCAAAATCTTGCTTTCTAGTCACATCAACAGTTTCTGTCCAATGAGAACCCCGCCTCATTGACATCTTGGCCAGTTAGTACTGTGAGAAAAAAGTGGCGTTACTACTGGAGATGCCAGTCAGGGGTCCCGACAAGCTTGGGAAGAGGAGAGGTGCACTGCATTGGCTGAGAATCGATGAGGCCTCCGGAAACCGACCGAGAGGGTTTGTAGAGAGGAATCTTTCACAAATGGAGGCTGGAAAAAGAGCTGTCCACACCCGTGTTCCAAAGGAAAGAATCAAAGAAGCCCAGAAGGTTCTTTTAAAAAGGGAGATATGTATGTATGTATATATATACACATATATGGGTATATAAATGTTATTAAGATATAGTACAGAGGGGTTACCATTTCATAAGTCAGGTAATGGGTACAATTCTGTTTGGACAATGTCACTCCTTCCTTTGCTTTATCCGATGAAGAAGGTTCTGGAGGGAATGCTTCCAAATGGTTCACTAGGACTCACACCAAACTGATGGGAAAGTCCGGTGTACATTCATTTTCATGTGCCATATGTGGAAAATGGGGAGAATGAGCCTGGGAGAGAAAAGAGCCATCTCTTCCCTCAAGAAGGCTCAGGGAAACACTTAGCATAGTACCTGGTTTAAACAAGTGCCCCAAAACTATTGACTTCATTATGCCATTGATCAAAAAAGACCAAATAGAAATTTCTGTTACTTTTTTTTTGCTGGTCATGGGGCTGAACTCTGGGCCTGGGTGCTGTCCCTCAGCTCTCAAGGCTAGCGCTCTACCACATGAGCCACAGCGCCACTTCCGGCTTATGTGCTGCTGAGGAATCGAACCCAGAGCCTCATGCATGCAAGGCAAGCACTCTACCACTGAGCCACCTTCCCAGCCCCAATTTCTGTTACTTTTGATTTTGGAAGGACATCTATATCCATAAGCACTCTTTCACTGCTGTGCGTGTGTGTTTTAGGACTGAGGGGAAACATCCACAGACTCAGAACTAACAAGCCTGGAATCAGATCTGAAGCAAAGTACTTAGTGTTCATGAGTTTAGGAGATTCCTCATGTATGTTCCTCAGGTGGAAATAAAAACACCTGCTTCCAGATAAAAAGGGCTGAAGGTTAAACTCTGGGCTTCACCTATCATACCACTTATTCATTCCACAAATATTGGCCTTCTACTAGGTGTTGAGCACTCTGATGGGTGTTGAGAATAGAATGACAATGAGACAAGGCTGTTCTGATCGTTTAGTGAGACACAGGCTTAAACACAATTACTAATAATTGTTCACTATAATTGTGATAGATTGTGTGGAAGAAAGTATATGAAAGATAAGCCACATCAAGGGAGAAACTGTGGGTCAGGGCTATGGTGCTCATAAGGAAAATGAACAGTCTGCCACAAGAATACTGGCTGTGTTTCTGCCTAGAGTCATGGATCATGAGGACGCCACTGGTTGGTAAAAGGGCAGATTGAGGCAGGGATATGGAAGAAAGGGATGGAAGGGTGGGTGGAAGTGTGAATGGATGGATGGATGCATGGATGGATGATGGGGAGCCCGGGGGAGATCTCAACTAAGAAATGTTGACAGTTGACAGCTGCTTCATTGGACAAATACTGAAATGGATAAGTGGATAGATCAATAATAATTCCTTGATGGATTACATAATGCAATGAAATAATAGTGTGTTGTTACTTATTCATGGTCTCATTTAATCTTTGAAATAGCCCTTCTTATGTGGAGCACACTTGGGCATAGCTTTCTTTCACTGCGTATACAACTGAGGCATGGGAACGTCAATGGCTTGAGAGACTAGAACTCGTGTCCTCGATGTGCCCCTTACCCCCTCTCCCTTCCACCACATGATGTCTCTAAGAGACGGCACAGGTGCCATGTCCTCTTGGGCTGAGGCCTTTGGTAGAAAGGGGCAAAGAATAGAACTGTCTGCAACCTTCCTCAGTAGATTTTCCTTTCCTTGCAGGTCGAAATATTTCCACGGGAAGAAGGTGAATGGAGAGATTGAGATTCGAGTGGAACAGGTAGGTGTGTGGAGCCATGCCCCGGGCACAGCCACCCTGCCGTGTGCTAAGCTGGGTCTGTTCCCAAGATCAAACGTAGTCCTTATTCTTTGTGGCCCTCATGAGCTAATTCCCTGGGAAAATCCCGGCTTATACCTGAGAGGTCTAGGATTAGTTGGTCCAGTGCCTTTCAAACTTTTGTGCTAGCGGTGATCTTTTCTCCTTCCTCTCCGTCAGCAAAAAAGGAGCTCATTCTATGAAACAGAGGCATGTAGATGTGAAGGGCTCCCATGGAAATGCGTGTGGGGACCCCAAAAGTCCCAACAGTTTGCTTCATCCTGTTCCTCATTGTCCCCAAGGCCTCTCCTTGGGACCACTTTGGCCAGAAGGTTGTTTGGGAATCCTGGCTTTCTTGCTTTTTAGTCATTGAATGGGTGGCTTTGTCTCTTTGTGATCCAATATTCTTGTGACAGTGTCACTGGGATTAAATTATTTAGAATCTCAAAAGAGATCGGAATTAAGAACATTAGTTGGCATGATTAGCACTATTTTCAATGCCCAGATCCCTCATTTTTTTGTGTTGGTCATGGAGCTTGAACTCAGAGCCTGAGTGCTGTCTCTGAGCTTTTTTGCTCAGGGCTAGCTACCACTTTGAGCCATAGCTCCTCTTCTGGTTTTCTGGTGATTAATTGAAGATAAGATTCTTACCTGGGCTGGCTTTGAACCACAATCCTCAGATCTCAGCCTTCTGAGTAGTTAGGATTATAGACATGAGCTACCAATTCCTGGCTTCAGATCCCTCCTCTTATGTGAAAAGAAACACATACATGCTGTAAGGCTCCATAGGAAGTTAGCAGCAGAATCAGGACCATGGGATGTAGTCTCTGATCTCAATGAGAGTTCCTTCCATTTATCATTTGAGAGTCCCTTCTAGAAGCACTATGCCGGGCCTTAAAGAGCGCATAATAGCCAGGGCTCTGGAGCCAGACTTCAAATTGGAATCCCAATGCCACTGCTGAACAATGCTCAAGCCCCCTCCAGCATTTTCTCTGTGTGCTTGGAGATACAGTCACATCAAAGTGTATCCTTAAGGTTATTGAGTTAAATGAGTTAGTACATGAAAATGTCTAGAAAAGGTAGGGTGCCAGTGGCTCACTCCTGTAATCCTAGCTACTCAGGAGGCTGAGATCTGAGGATTGCAGTTTGAAGCCAAACCTGGCAAGAAAAGTCTGGGAAACTTTTAACTCCAATTAATCACCAAAAAGTTGGAAGTAGAGCTGTGGCTTAAGTGGTAGAGTTCCAGCCTTGAGTAAAAAAAAAAAACAAGCTAAAGGACAGTACACATACCCTGAGTTCAAATCCCAGAAGTAGCATGTGTGTGCGCACACATGTACACACACACACACACACACACACAGTCTAGAAAAGTGCTGACAAATACCATTTACTCAATACATATTTCCTGTTCTTTTTTCTTCTTATTCTTTTTCTCCTTGCTCTCTTCCTCCTCCTCTTTCTCCTTCCTCTCCACCTTCTGCTTGTTATTGTTCTTTTCCATTGTCACCCTCGTCTTCTTCAGAGGCAAACAGTAATTAAGGTAGACAAGATCCCTACTGTAAAATTAATTGGGAGACACGCAATGAAAACAAACAGAAGGTGGAGGCACTCTGCTCTTTGAAGTCTGTGTGTCAGAGGAACACAGGACTTCTGAGCATCACATTGATTGCATTGGCTTCATATGAAAACACCTCCAGTTGGAATTTCAATCTGATCCTGTGGCTTTCAAGTTAATCCAGTGTCTACTGGTTTTCCTTCCATGGCCAAAATAAAAAGCCAGGTTATTTTTGTTCATTTTATAAATATTTGTCAAGTGTCTACTATGCTAGCTAGCTCATGTAGGAGCTGAGGATGGGGAGTCGGGAGCCTAGTTCCCGAACAGCTTGTGGTCTAGGAAGGGAAGTGAGCTAAGTAAGTCTTAGCCGATCATGAAGGTCAGAAACGAAACGTGTTACGGACAGCAGAGCCCAGGACAAGCTGAGGGAGTCTGAAGTAGCTTTGAGGAGAATTAAAACATTTTTTCATTGTTATTATAAAGGTGATGTACGGAGGGATTTCAGTTACATAAGTCAGGTCATGAGTTCATTTCTTTCTTTCTTTTTTTCTTTTGGTCGGCCATGAGGCTTGAACTCAGGGCCTGGACATTGTCCCTGAGCTCTTTTTGCTCAAGGCTAGTACTGAATCACTTTGAGCCACAACTGCACTTCTGGTTTTTTTCTGTGATTAATTGGAGATAAGAGTCTCATGGGGACTTTTCTGCCTGGGCTGGCTTTGAACCACGATCCTCAGATCTCAGCTTCCTGAGTAGCTAGGATTACAGGTGTAAGCCACAGACGCCCAGCATAAGTCCATTTCTTTTTGGACAATGTCACCCTTTCCCTCACTCTCTCCCAGTTTTTTTTTCCTCCCACTCCTCCCTCCCACATGTTGTATCGTTCATTTTCAACATAGTATTCCATGATACTGCATTTGTCCACCCTTTGCCCCTCCATTTTTGTGTCCCCCTAACCCTCCCAAAGACAAATAAAGGAAAAAAACAAAACAAAAAGGAAAGACAACAAAAAACAGCAGCAAAGGGGAAAAAAACCTCTTTTTCATTTCTTGGCATTCATTGAGATAAATATTATTTGGTATGATCAGATACACATAGGCCTTTTGCCTTTCTGTGCAGAGCGAGAGACCTCTCTGATGGTTTGGAGGTTGGATGGGATTTCAATACATACAGATGGTGCTAAAGAGTTCCTGAATGGACACCAGGTGAACCAAGGAAGGAGACCATAGATACAGTGTGAAGGGCAGGGAGTCTGGTTACTGGGCCCCCAAATAGTTCACCTCATCCTGCTTCTGCATCTGACCTGTTCCTCCTCCCCATTCCCTCTTTCAGTAAAGAGTACTACCGTGTACTTTCCACCTGATCAGATTCCCAGATGCCTTTCTCTCCATCCACTACCTGCTAGGTCCTGCTGACTCCACATCCCATAATGTCCTAGTCTGTCCACTTCTTTCCACTCCATTACCAAAGGTCAGCCATGGCTGTGGGCCATTACTGAATCAATAGCCTCAGGATTCCATTCTTCCCCCATCTCCATCTTATTCTTCAAATCAAAGCTAAAGTGATCTTTCTTTTAAAAAATGCAAAGGAGAGCCTTGACAGTGTTAGTTTTGGAATCCCCTTTTCAAAGACACTTTCTCCTAGGTTTATTAAAAAATCAGATAACTTGGTTGCACTTATTCATAGCACCCCAACTTTTCCTTCCCTAGCCCTTCTCTGAGATTTTTACCTATAGACGTGGGGCAGGATTGTTTTTGTAAGGGGAAGGGCCGTGGCTATTTAGATCGTACTCTGTGAAGTAGCATGGAGCCTGGCATTCAGTAAGTGGAAGTGGAGGAAATAGTTGCAGAGTGAATAACCGATCGATTCCACAGATTCTGGGCTGCTTTGTCAGTTTCCAAGGGTGATAAATCATGGCTCCAGGACCTGTGTTTTTTATAAACTGTGTGGTGAATGCTCAGTGCCAACCCGGCTGCCCAGCCTCATCCCCTTGATGGTGAACCAACTCACACACATGCTTCCATTTCCCCTTTTTTTATCTTAGTGCTGCCTTGGACTCAACTTGTAGAAGCAAAACATTTGAGCCAGAACACACAAGGGAGTGACCACAGGATGCAAATCCGTTGGAGGCAGGGGCCCTCGGGGACATGGAGCCAGCCTAAAAAGGCTACAATCATTCTAGAAAACACTGGCTAATTTATTTATTCTGATATCTGGCCATGCCTTGCCAGAGCAGACGAAAGGTAAATTAACCTGGAAACCAATCAGTAGGTCGTTTGGCCATGTCTCCCCGGGAGGCCTACCTCCTCAGAGCCATCTGGGAATCTGAGTAGCTTGTGTTTGCTGATGTGCATCCATGGGGTGGGTCACAGAAGCAGTACCCCCTCCCCACCAGGAACCTCACAGGTGTCCTTCAGCACTTAGAGAAAGGCTTAGGACTGAAGCCACTGTTTAGTCTGAACTGACCTCAGATTTTTGAGAGCCTGCCTCTCATCTAAGGGCCAAATTAACTAGATAATTGCACTGTCTGGGTTTTGCTGGACAGAGCAAAAGAGTTAGTTGTCGTTGGCCTAGAGGAAGCCTCCACCCTTTCTCTCTGCTCTCTTCCCCTTGGGCCCCCTCTCCCACCCAACTCCAAAACTGCTTGCTTGGCTTTCACGAAGCCAAAAATCCGGAGCCCCGGGGAGACCAGAGAGGGGCTGCATCACTTCGTATTCAGTTACCCAGAATGCCTGCTGGCTCTGCGGGTCCTCACCATAGTGTCCTAGCTGGTCTGGAGAGGGTCGGGTCAGGGTGGTTGGCACATCAAGCTTGCCTGTGTTTGTATTTGAGGCCAAGGGTCATCTTTTCCATAGGAACGGCCCCTCCTCCATGGGACTAAGAAATGAGGGTGGCGAATGGATTAATATTAAGTACATTTGCTGTCTGAGGGGTTAGAGGACTAAAACTTGGTAGAATGGAGTCAGGGATTTTGTAAAAAGAGGAAAACTTCCCAGCCCTGGTGGCTCTTGAACATCATCTGAGCTACTCAGGATACTGAGATCTTGTGGTTTGAAGAGAACCCAGGCAAGAGAGTCCATGAGACTCTCTATCTCCAATGAACCACTCAAAAAAATAATAAATAAAGCCAGAAGTGGAGCTGTGGCTCAAATGGTAGAGTACCAACCTTGATTGAAAAGCTCAGGAACAGCATCCAAACCCTGAGTTCAAGCCCCAGGACTAGATCTAAATAAATAAGTAAATAAAAAGGAACAAGACTGAAATGACTACACTCAGACTTTGTTCAGTGTTAGAGTCAGAGGGACCACACTGCCTTGCCCAGACAGATGGAGAGGAAGGTAAAAGGAGGAAGCTGCTCAAGCCACAGATTTACGGAGGAGTGCCCGGGGCTCCCTCGGAGTCACTGGCTTCC